AGCCTAGATAATGGTAGCTGTTGTAAAACTAAAAACTTATATGGAAAGATAAGAACATCTGTGCGTCCTGAGTAAGATTATAAACTACATCCAGATTCTGGGTAAGAGAATAAAGTACATCCAACAGCAAGGCCTCCGATCAGGAGGTTTTGAGGAGCATGGAACCATCCCTTAATTGCTAGTGTTCCCAGGTTCACCATGACCCAGGATGGTAGCAAATAGTTGACCCTCCCCCAAAACTAGGGTCAAAACACTGAAAGTGTAAAAATAGGTTTTTAATATAGCAATACTTTTTTGTAAAAAAAATTATTACTAGCAATGAATTTTTGAAGGAAAAAAAAATATTACCAGCAATACATTTTTGGAAAAATTATTAACCAGCAATAAAAATAACCCATTGAGGTTGATAATGCCATAAAACAAAACAAAAAAAAACAAAGAACATCTGCTTGAAATCAAAGATCAGACTGTAATGCATGTTGGCCTTCTATAGAGCTATGAATCTTTGACATTAACAGTGGAGTTACAGAAGACAAGCATTTGAAATTAGATGCTATAAAACCATCCTAAGTATCTCTTACATAAACTGCATCACAAATGAAACAGTGTGAGACACAATCAAACAAGAAACATGCCCTTTGGAAGACCTCATAATGACTGTCAAGAAGAGAAAGTTGAAATGGTAGGGATATGTCATAAGAGCCAACTGCCATCCTACAAGATTCCACCTTAGGCAAAAGAAGTAGACGGAGGAAAAACTGGGTTGACGTCACTGAGTGCAATGGATGATCAGTCACAGACTCAGCCATTTGTATACAACTGGAACATATGAAGGAAGCTGGTCAAGTGATCAGCTGTACAGTGACACCCTATGACCACACTTGGTTGTAGGACTGACGATGTTGATTAACATTTGTTGGCTAATTTAATATCAATATATTTTAATTATATTTGAGTCAAAACATTACAGCAAACTTGGATCTTCATGCCTTTAGAAAAAAAACTAAAAAAAAAAAACCTCAAAAAAGTGTCAAAAGGATGTTTTTTTCCATTGAAACAGCTATTATTTTTACTATCTTCCATCATCTGCAATGTTTTTTTTAAGAAACGGTGATTAGAATTGTAATAAAACCTGAACATATGATGAAAGTGAATTCATACATTTTTATTTTGTTCTTGAAAATTTACAACAAAAATATTTATTAAATTGTTTATTTATAAGAATAGTTTTATATTTAGATCATTCTAAAAGCTGATACAATTAAAACTAATGCAATTTTTATCATTTATCTTACTTATTATAAAACGCAGGTTGTGTGTGTGTGTGTCTGTAACGTTTATATGTTGGATCGAATTTCCTACATTTTTTTAGCCGATTTCAACAAAACTTCACAGGACTACATAAAATTACCTTGTGGTGGTTCTAACGGGGCTGAAAATGGGAAAAATACAGTTGTTTTTTAATAAAATCAATTTGAAAACACGATTAAGACACATCGTGAGAATGAAAGGGGGAGAACTCATCCACGAAAATGTAAACAAAAGAGCATAGCATGATGAAAAAGACACCGAACTTGACGAAAACAAAGTTTTATCATCTAATGTTCATATTATTATTAAAGAGGAAAGATCAAAGTATTTTGGGGGTATTTTTTACATTTTTTAATCGTTCCTAGCATGTCTGAAATTTTCGTTAAAAATATTTTTTTTTTTTTGGTCAAAAAAAAAGGGCAGATAATCATTTTCAATCATTTTTTTCGATTTGATAAAAAAGATTAAAATCTTACTTTGATATTCTTTTAAAAGACAATTATCATTTTTTCAAAACTGATTTTAATAAAAACAGATATTATACTGTTTATTTAAAATATTTTGAACCAAGCTTAACTTAGCTTCTGCGCTGAAAAAATGTAATTTGAAAATAAAACAAAGCAGGTCATAACCTTTCGCGTCGCTTGACAATTGACAAAAGGCACATTCATGACGTTTAGATAACTTACGGGAGGAGAATTCTTTCTATGGATGGAAGGAAGTGAAATTATTTAAGTGAACAAATTATTTACCTTGTTACTTTTAAGGAAAACTTTCAGCGCTCTAATTTTTTATTTTTATTTTTTTTTTGTTAGCTTTCATTTTTATGTTTACGATGCTTTATGGAAAATATAAAGAAATTAAAAAATAAGACTGTTAATAGTGAGATTAAATTTCATAAGAAAAAGGTATCTAATTAATTTAGGTACCTTTCTTATGAAATTTTATCAGAAATATTACATAAAATACTATAATTTTATGTACATTTATTACATTTTACTGTGTTATTTGTATTTCCATTCATTTTATTATTAATTTTGATATTTCATTTATGAAAAAATGTTATAACTGAGATTAATATAAAAATAAGATCATATAAATTAAAGTTTAGCAGTAGTTAAATTTCATAAGATGATACTGTTACTTTGTAGGTACCCTTCTCAGTTGAAATTGAAAACTCAAATTAACTTCTCCATACGTGTTTTGCAAAAGTAAAGGGCTTAACAGCGGAGAACAATGCTGAACTCAAATAATGCAACTAAATTGTATTCTGGTTGGTCTTCCGTACTTGATAATTACTGTCCAACTATAAACACAAAAATTACATTTCTTAATTACCATGGCTAATCTGATTGGTCCAAATTATACAATTTTCAAAGTGCTAGACAATGACAATCTCACATGGACATTTTGAAAGGTTGATGTTGCTTTTAACTAATGTTAAAATATTTTTTTTAAATTCAATTTAAACATTTTTAAAAATCTTTTTTTAAAATTAAAGAAATAAGAAATAATTGTATTAAAAATTCAATTTTCATTGAAAAAATTTTTTGCTTTCAGAAAATATTGTCCATATTCATAAAAACAAATTAAAACAAATAAAAGCATTTGAAACTAAATAATATATTTGTTTTATTGAGTTTTGTATGTTACAAGTCACAGCTGATTTTCAGATACGTTGGCAAAAAAAAAAAAAAAAAAAAAAAAAAAAACATGATTTGCATTCTTCAAAGCCTTGTGCTTTTAACTATTGTAATCACTAAAACCGATGGTCTCAAATTTCTAGAGTTTTTCATAAAATTAGTTATGGGGTGTTAATAAATATAAAAAAAATATTTCTGCCATGACTTTAATAAAAAAAAAAATATTTATAATAATTTCGATCATCTGTGAATAGTTTCTGAAGGTTTCATTAACATCTGACAATTATTTTTATTTTTGCAAGATTTTCCAAATTAATGTGTGTAAATACAAAAAAAATGCGCTAAAAATTATCTATGTTATTTACTACCCCTTGTTGCGACAAAGAGAAACAAGGTTTTTTAAATCAAAATTTAGAATATTCTAAAAGATGGAAAATTTTTAAAAATAATTAAATAAAAATTTAGTCTATCCTCTTCATAAAAAAATAAGCATTTTGACGATAAAATTTTGTTTTCATAAACTTTGGCGTCTTTTTCATCAGACTATGCTCTATGTTTTAGCGATTCCGTGGAGTGACTTACGTTAAAAAACCCAGGTTGTTTGTGTGTGTGTGTGTGTGTTCCTTTATATATGGGATCGGATTTCTTACATTTTTCAGCCGATAAAACAAACATCCACTTTTTTTTTTTTGGCAGGTAGTATTTCTTATTGTCTTGCACACTTTTTTCTTTATTTACATTCAGAATGCTTTAAAAATTCCATTTACAAGACAATTGTTTATAATAAAATTCTATTCACCAATCGATAGACTCATAACGATTGTAAACAATGTTTTTGTTTGAATTTGGGTTTGACCAATTCGTAAAAAAAAAAAACAAAAAAAAACTAATTAAGATATGCGTGTCCGTCAACCTTAAACAATAATCTTTGTCAATTTTATTTTTCAGTCTTTATGATGGTCGATACTTGATCTATCTCTTACTGTTACATCCCCGGGCAACTCCGGGCTCTACTGCTAGTCAATTTATAAAGAAATAAATATGAAAACGATTTTTCAATTATAAATTTATAAACATTTACTAAATTATTTAATTATGCGAACCAGCTATAAGGAATTCCTTATTTACCATTTTATAAAGTTTGAGTCAATTGGCAATTAGCCAATTTTTTGCCAACCATTCAAATAAACAATCTAATAAATAGTGTTTATTATTTTTGTTGTCAATTCTGAACATTGTAAAAACAGAAACATATTTTAGGTCCCATATTTGTTTCTTTTCATAAATATTTTTAATGTTATTATAGAACTATTTCTGTAATTGCTTTGAAGCAACAATTTTGATAGAATCAACATTCTTGGATCAACTGAAGATTGTCAGCATCTTTTTAAATCAAGAGATACAAAGAATTTATATGATTGTATTCATTTTAGACATTTAGGGACCCAGGCAAGGCAGTGTACTTCTGCTAGTAGGTCTATGAATAAGTGATATGGAAAGAAATAATTTTACAATTTTGTAACAAAGTTAAAAAAAAAAAAAAAAAAACACTTTCAGATTTACTGTAAGTTGCTTAACATTGTCTTAATTAACTGATATGTTTGAAAGCTTTGTAGGTTATATTTTTAGATTTTTATATACTTAGATTAAATTTGTCAAACCATTTTAGAAAGTCTAATTTAGTCAAAAATAAGAAGGCAAAGGAAAGAATTTTCTAACAGACATTTGGTTTTATTGTAAGCTGCTTAACATTGTATAAAACTTGAGATCAATTTAAAATCTTTTAATTATAGAATAATTTTCACTGATTAGTTTCTTTTGGTTTTAAGTGGAACTATCAACAGTCATAACAGGTTTATAAGTTTAGGTATAGTCACTTAAAAATGTTTTTTCCATTAGTAGATGTGTAATGAAACTGCTTTTAGAAATATCTAAAAATATTCAACATGTGATTTAATCTGTGAGAAGAGTTAGAAACTAATTGTTCAACTAATGCAAAAATTATTTAAGTACTTTTAAAGAATGCCTCTTTTTCTCTTACTTCAGGGATGCAGATGAACTATCAGACCTCTCGGAGAATGATGAGCTCGAAAGGGATGTTGGCAGTAGTCTCTCAGGTGAGGGTGAACTTTCTCACTCGAATGAAGACTTAGCTGAGAAAGAACCAAAGTCTCTAACAGAACTTTTCTCACCTGTTGAAACCATTTCTACCAACCCTCCCACACCTCCTCTAGAGACGAGTTCACCTTTGAAGACATCAGATGCTGAAGATTCCTACAGTTCCATACCTGACAAACAATCAACTACCTCACAGATGCCAGTCACCAATGTCAATCCGGAACCCGTCATCAAATCAATTCCTTCTGAGGAAGGGGATCCAAAATTTGAAATTCTTCCTGAAAGTCAAAAAATTGCTGAAGGAGAAGCTGTAAAATGGCAGTGCCATGTTAGTGGCACAGAACCAATTGGTAGGTCCATATTGTTATTACTTTTGAATTTTTTTTTTTATTTAAAATTTTTTACTATTTGAATTTTTGGGATAGGAACGTATCGTTATTTACATTAAAATTAATACCTGCATCTTTATTGTTATCACAAAATTTCAGCTGTTGTACGTTTTGACCTTCTGGCTGATCCAGGTAACCTTCAGGGAACTTTGAACTGAACCCTTTATTTAATCTAATATTGTTCTTGTTCAGCTGACTGTATCTGAGGATACCTTATCTCCATTCTTATTTAGTACTGTTCACTTATTGCTCGACCTGATTCTACAGAGTTGAAGTCCGTATTATCCAGCTCATGGAGTGAACTCACACTTACTAGGTTACCCAATTCATGAACCAACACTAATTCATTTGATTGTTGTCCCATGGGACAATCCTGAACTTAGAACTTGGAGCCTTAAACGTAATATTTTTGTATCCTGCCTGCTGCTGATGCTACTACTGTCATGCTTGGCTACATTCACTGTTGTTTCTCTTTATTAATGACTTCTATGTGATATTTATATGCTGGGAAATTAAGGGTCCCTAGCATATATCAGACAATTCAATATTCTTCTCTATCAAGTATTTTTACTTAATTCCACAGTGGTTGGTAACATTCTTTTTCAATCCATACTTGATCAGCCATACCTGATTTCATTGTCTTACTCCTAATTATGATCTTTTGATATTCCTCCAGCCTTACTTTTAGGTTGTGGCTGGTTTTACCTTTGTATTCTTTGCTACAACTACAAGGTATAGAATACAAAAAGTTATTGGTCATGTTCTCCTCTGTATTAGGCTTGACTTGGCAGAGATTTCTTCATGGGGTTAAGCTTCTTCTGAATAATTGTTCTGATGTTGTATGGACCACAAGTTACATAGGAAGGGCTTTTAATCTTTACTTAAGTGTCTTAAATTACTTATGTCTCAGATGTTATATTGTGAACAATATTTGTTATTTCTCTACTGTAACACTTCCTATGCAAAATCAGAATTAAACAAAATAAAATTACTTTAAAAAGTTAATTATGTGAATGCCTATGCTTATGTATGTAAAAAATGGAGAAGTTCTTGTGGTGAACAGTCGTGTAGAAGCAAGCGAACCAGAGGGGCTTGCATCTGGCGCAAAGGAAAATAAGTGTCTTACCTCACCATGTGCCATGTGACATCAGCATTTTGCTCCTTGAAAATGGCATTACTCTCCTGTCTAATGATCCCAGCAGTATGTACTGTAACTGGGTTTTTTTGTACAGTTTGGCATTGTCTGACAAATAGCAAGTCATGTGCTAATTGGTCGGACTGGAGGAGGCTATTTGCCTTGGTAAGTGAGAACAAAAGTGAAGAAGTTGGTCGGCCACAGTGTTGGCCTGATAAAAGAGGGCTGAAGCAGTGAGAAGGCAGAATTGTTTTATGTTGGTGAAGCGTGCAGAATGCAAGAACGGTGGATTGAACAAGCAGTATCTTGTATGAACAATGTCTGAGGAATAGACTCATTTCACTACTGTTCTGTATTTCATCTCTCTTTGTACCACATGTCCTTTCAAGATGGAAGTGATCATAGTTCTCCATTTTTCTTTTGCTTTAAACAGTAGTTACATTTTTTTACAATCTCTTGTCTTTGTGTTGTTTGCTTCACCATCCATTTGCTCAAATTTGTTAAGTAGTAAATTGCTGCTTCTCATGTCTTCAGTTCACCTTGTGACATTTATATTCACCAAGTCCTCTTTTCTCATTGTGTTCCCAAAAATTTTAGCTCCCTTTTACTAATTGTTTGCAACTTTTTTATGTAGTTCTTTTAAAAAAAAAAACAATGAAATGTTATTGTAACAGAACATTTCCAGTTCTAAAACCTTACTGAATGATTTCAAAAAAAGATTTTCCATTTCACAGATTTTCAAAATATCCTAATTTTTCTGTAAAACTTAAGGCTTAAAACAAGAAAAGAATTTATGTATAACTTGGTAAAATTTTCTGTTGAGGCTATGCATAAAATTTCTGGGGAGTGGTCACACAATGTCCAGAAAATCTGAACCTCATACTGCCAAGATTTCACTTCATTACTCTTGCATCTCTCAAAAGCTGAGATAATAACACACCCATCATAAAAGTACTTTTCCAAGTCTGGATTAAATTAAGATTGATTTTTTTGAAAATGGCTGTTTTGATCTTTCTATAAATTTTATAGATTTTGTTCAGAGGCCAGATAAAGGTTGATTGGAGAAATCTTTTGATACAAAGTAATTGATTTTTTGCTTAATGGCTTTTGTAAATTGAGAATTACTTTAATCTTTTTATGTGCAAAGGTATTTACTTTGGACATAACTGGATGTAAATCAATATATGTATGTAATTTATAAAATCATGGCCAGCAGATTGTTTGGTGCATGAAACTGACAGTTACCATACAGTGCTGATTCTTATGTCCACACTGTATCTACAAATGGTCTATCTGTGATAATGAGTAAACTTCTCCAATAAATATAGCAAATTTTAAATACACACACACACACACACTATATATATATATATAAAAAGAAAGAACAGTAAGATATATAATCTGGTGTCTTTATAGATATTTTTATTTTTACAAAATAGTGCTCAATGTAAATTTACAGAGCATTAATATTATAAATTAATTGATTTAAAATATGTTTTTTTTCACTACACAGTTCTAACCATGTTTCAAAAATGGAAGCTAAAAGCCCCGAATTTAATTTTGTAATTAAAGTAAAGACATTAGTTCTATTTCATCCTCAAGTGAATTTTGGAGTAACTTTTAAAATTACTGGGTTTTAAATACACAGCGAAAACCAGTTACCCAGAGACCCCTTGTCTAGCAAAATAGATTTATCTGTAACCTTAGAAACATGAGTTTTGTTTTAGCTGTTTATGCAGGTATAACAAAGTAAACTTGATATTAAACCTTGATACTTCATTTTAATAGGAGGCATTATGTAGCCATATTTTTTCTTCAAAAAAATCTCCTCTGTTGAGAATATGAATTAATAACATTTATCATGGCTTTAGGGGAAACAAAGGTTGAGAGATATTTTCATATCGTTTTACAGTGTTTTTCTTGATAGTCTATTATTATTTATGTCCAACAGATGTTATATTCGTACAAATGTTCATTGTTTTCTTATAAATATTGCATTATTTTAAAAGATATTGAAGAATTCAAATCACCTGCTTCTTGACAGAGGCAAGCATTATTCTTAAGAAAAACAAAACCTTACTGTTCTGTCACATGTCTGGTTGACGGAGAGAGACTGGAAGAAAATAAATGTTTAGGTCTTAGTTATCAACTCCTAAACAGGTGACTGACTTTAATTGTCAGGTCACTTGGTTGATCAAGCATTACGTTGATGATTGGCAGGTTTTGATTACAATCATTATTATTGATTACTCTGTGTGTGAATAATACTGAAGGATTTTTTAGACCAGCTTTGCATTGCAGGAGTTACATTGTATGAAATCTCTACAGAAGTGATTCAGCCATTTAATATTGATGAAAAAAAAATAGGCTAGCTAAAGCAATGGTGCCTTCGTCTCCTTTAAAGTATTTCCTTTGGCACTTCACATTCTTATCTCAGTGTCCTTTCCTTTTTTCAAAACATCCCTCATTTTTTATCAATGTCTACTCTCTATTCATGTTCTTTTGCATTGTATCGAAAGTCTAAAATCTCTCTGTGCTTTCAATGGTGGTGACTAGAAGTGATGTACAGCTAAACTTGGACTGCTTGAGAAACCTGGTGTGATATTTTCCATAAGTAAATCTGTACAAGACTTCACTGATCTACTTGCTTGATCAGTTGCAATGATCACACAGTATACAAGCTTGTGGAGTGATATTTAACTGCCAATTGAGTAACCCCATAGAAGAGTGTCTGCTCATGCAAGTACAGTAAGGACCATTTGTCAAGCTACATCAAGGCTACAACTGGTTTTCAAAATATTCAAATAGAATGTATTTATACTGCACAGATTTGGTATACTTGAAAATAGGGGACAATGTCTTGTTAGATATCTCAGCCAGGTTTAGTTTAATTTTGTTATATTTACTAAGCTTAGCTTGAAGGACAAAGTGGTAAAAATTGTTTTCTTGTAAGTGCCTGCTTGCTTTGAAAATCAGCATTAAAAAAATATGGTCTTAATCTGGGTTTGGACACTGATCTCTAGTACAATCAGAAACTATCTTGCCTACAGGGTAAGCCCAAACAATATGGTTATTTGTGCATTGAAAGATTAGTTCCAGTATCTGTTCTTTGGTGGTGTTCACTGAAGATGTAGAATGTACAATTGGACAATGGAATTAGGATTTGAGGTGATCTTGATTTAAATCTTTGTTTTGTTTAATGTGAATTGGTCATCAGATAATTGGATATTAAGGCCATTATTATTATTCTCATTTTGGATAATCTTTTAATTCAGTTCAGTATTAAATGGAAGCATTGTAGCTTTGGCGTTCAGTTTTGAATTTTCTCCTTTATTACATAGGAAGTTAAATAAAATGAAGTTTATTGCAAAATGTAACAATAAAACAATCCCACCATATTTTCTTTGTATTTTTATGGCTAATATATTCTTCAGGTTTTCAAATTGTAGTATTTTGGAAGAAAGACATCTTCTGACAAGACTTACATTTGTATCCTAATCCAGAAAAATTTTATAACAATACCTTTTCCATTTTGGCCACTAAAACTGCTGACATATAGATATTGCCTTTGGTCTTCAATTTCATTCTATAAATTTCAGAAAAATATGTAACTTCTGTTACATGGAATTTAAGTTCAAATCATATTTGGATCTTATGAATTTTGTTAATTAAAGATATCAAATGAAAAAACTGACATTTAAAAAAATAAAAAAAAAAAATACTTGTCAAAATATAATAAAAATAGAACTTCATCCCAGAATTTGACTTTAGACTAAATTAAAATAATCTGTAAAATAATTGATTGTAATATAACTGTTGGGAGTTTCTATGGTTCAATAAAATTTTATTTAAAGACCGATAGTTGCTTTAGTTATTTGACAAAAGTTTGTTTACTCCAAGGACTGTAATAATTTGAAATAATCTCTTATTTTAAAAGTGCTATATGGTTTAAATAGTGGATACTCCCCTGTTGTAATATTAACCTCTTCAAGTTAATGGTCAATCTATCCTTTTTTTTCTCATAATCTTCACTTCATATCACTTGCTTGTTCATTCAAAGTCCACATCTCTTTTATAACCATCAGTAACCTTCGGCCTTGAGTGGCACTTGCATATATATCTCAGAAATTTCAATTCTCTTTCTGGTTCTTATTATAAGCAACCTTTTTATTTCGGTTTTCCTTAAAACTTCCTTGTTGTTCACATGTTTCATCCATTCTCATCATTCTTCTTCAGAACCATATCGCTGTTGCTTTAAGTCTCCTGTTCATTTGATAGGAAAATGTCCAGCATTCACTGTCATATAGAATTGATATTATATAGCAATTCCACTTTATTTGTTTCTAATGAAATTTTCATGTTTCTTAATGTTATTTTGATGTTTCCAGTTCATATCTTGCATGTTGAACTGCACTGCTTGTTAATGACCAAACATTATGTCCTCTTACTGTTGATGGTTACTACTACTTAGAAAAAAAGACTCAGTTTGACATTTGTGATTTGTTATTGTGTGAGTGATGTACACTGCAGTTCAAAAGTTTGAGGCCACCCCAAATAATTTTTTAAATTGGCCTAAAAAGTAGTTATTTTGTACTTTAAATAAGAGAAAATTATTATACATGGTTAAAAAGTGAGACATGAATTTTTATTAAATACTTCATTATGACAAAAGGCAAAAAAAGAATTTTATGATTAAATTTTGCTCTCGTCAAAATATCCTCCTTTAGCCTTGATTACTGCAGCACAAATTTTTGGCATTCATTGCAAAAGTTTCTCAAAGTATGAGTTTGATAATCAATACCATTCTTTTTTTCAATGACACTAAAAACTCTTTTTCATTTTTTTTTTTTTCACTCTTCTGTCAAGTTCATCCCATGCTAATTCTGGGGGTCACCTCATACTTTTGAATTGAAGTGTATATAATAAATATAGATAATAAATATTGGAAGAGTAGTAATTTTAAAAATGTTATTTAATATTTGTTGTTTTCCATTTTTCCTTGCTTAGACATTTTCTGGTTCAGGATTGAGTCTGAAGTTCATGAGCTGGAAGAAGATGAGAAATATGAGATGACCAAAGATACAAATAAACATACACTGACCATCCATTATCCCAGCAAAACAGAGGCTGGTCAATACATGTGTATTGCAGTTAATGAAAAGGGCAAATGTTCAGAATATTTCATTCTCAACATTGAAGGTAAGTACAACCATATTTTCAGATATATATTTCAAAATGTTACAAGAAAGTGGATTAATTGCGATTGGAAAAGATGTGAGTTAATGCCAAAATACAGTTAAATCTGAATATAATAGCAGAGGACATTTTTAATATTTCTTTATACAGAAATAAACTTTAATACAATACAGATTACTGCATAATATAAAATTCTATGAGGGGTGCTGAAAGGTTTCTTGGCCAGAATCATTTTTGAAAATCTGATCAAATTTTTTTAATTTCCTTTTGGTCAGGCTGGGGAGGTTTTATCAACTCAGTCCCCAGTAATAAAGTATATATAATATTCACCTTTTTGACAGTGTGGGTTTAGTGATTTATGACTTTATTTTTTTTTTTTTTTTTTGCAGAGGGTGGGGGGTGTAACACAAAATCCTATCTAAATCTATCATAAAAAATATCTCAAATATGATTTATTATAGGTATAATTTAAAATTATTCCCTATTATAATGGAAAAATGAAAGGTAATTTATAGTATTTTATTAATTAAATAAAATAACACAAAAAGTGGAATATCAACACTATATAATTAAATCCTTTTAATCCTAAATCCATTATCCTGGGGTTTGTAAAATCAAGGATTTACTTTCTCATACGCTATAATTTTATTGGATCATATCAAAGTTGACTATAATTGTATCAGCTTTCTGCTACTACTGCTTGGATATTAAAGTTTTATCAAATACTCTTTTCTTCATCCACCATTGTGACATGCCAGTGATGAAACATGTCATCATAATAACTGGAAATAGGACAGTGGACTATTGTCATAGTGCAATAAGAACATTAACAAACCTAAAATTTAAGATCAGTTTGCCAGTTCGGCTTTCTGGGCTACGACAATTCTGCTTTCATATCTCTAATGTTTCATATAAAACATTGAACATTTTATATAATATACATTCTCCATGTGTTGGTTCCTTTTCAGGTTGTAGGTGATCAGGCTTTTCCCCAGTTCACGATCTTGTTGCTGACAGCAATATCTTTTTCTTAGTGATCTCTTTTCTTTTCAACTTTTGTAACACTTGTTTCTCTGTCCATATTTGTCAAGTAGGTTATTTGCTATTTTGTCTTACATCTCTGTGATACAGAATTTGTCAGCTCAATAAAAATGGCAAAATAATTTATAGCGAATATAATTCTAGACCTCCTCATACTGGTTAGAACTCTGATAACCCAAACTGAGTTGAGGTAATGACAGCGATGAATTGTCTTTGTGTAAGTTTTGATATAAGATTGAAAAATGTGTAAAAACCAGTAGTTCAATTGTGGCAGTAGATAACTCAAGAGTTCTGATGTTCAAGTATTCCTATTCCAGATTCCTTTGGTTTGGAAGACAAACATATGATGAGGAGAGTTAGCTGGCCAACCTGCTGACATCTATTCTCTTTCTCTCTTGTTTGCTTCCTCCAAGACACAATGCCTATGATGTTCCCTTAATATAAAGCACACTATAAAGAAACTTGAAGAAAATTGTCTGTTGTTGATTGTGTCTGTTGATGCAGTGTAGGGTCCTTCTTGAAGAATTGCTGATAGACCACAACAATCCAGGGATGACATGCAACATCTTGTCTTCAATGTGTCTTGTGAGCATTAAATTCTCCAAGCCTTTTTTTTATTCATTATATATCTGAAATGTTTCAGCTGCATCGTTTTGATTGTGATGAGTAGTTTCTTTGTAGTTCATATTCTTCTTAGAGCTTTCTCATGTCTCCCATACACTGTCCATGCTATTCTCAGCATTTGTTGATAAATTATCTCTTCAAGTCTTATTTAATTTTGTAACAATAATAGTTCTACTTTCACTTCTCCATAGAAAAGGAGACCTTGCTTAACAGTTTAACATATTTTGGGCTTGTAATTTTATTTTTTCGATCTAGTACTTTTGTGCATTGTGGTGTAATGGATAATGAGCCGAGTTTAAATACCTGGCCGGTTTGTTACATTCACTTACACGTGAATCCATCTTCTCACCCCAACTATGGGTTGGATAACAGGACAGATTGGGTCCTACAGCCTTGGGTTGCAACCAATCTACTGCAGAAAGAAATTGCAACCTACTGCAGGAAAATCTTCTACCTAGTCAGTCATGAATCGAAAGAGACATGATCACACAAGCATGTCATATATGACAAACTGACTGACTTTATTTAATACCTGAAAAGTAGTTTTCAATATTTATGTGCATCCTTGAATTTCTATATCACTTTGTCCATTATTTCACTGGTCAAATATTTAAATTTCTGCATTTCTTTAATTTTGATCTCCCTGATGTGTAATTCCTGTCATAAAATGTCTCTTTTTTTTTCACCACCATACATTCCTTCTTACAATTTATAGTTAGTCTTTTCTTCTTACTTTCCTTGACTACTTTGTCTAATAGTTCTTCTAGTTATGCACATTATGTATAAAAATATAATTAAATGATTGAGCAGTTGAATAAAGCAATTGATTCTTAAGTTGTCATTTGTTAAATATAAATGGTTGATTTGGTGAAATAAGAAAATGACTAAAGTTGTTTTTGGTTCTTTCTCGAAATGGAGGAAACTAGTTTATATTAATTACAGTGGGGGATCACATGACTATTTAGTAAATATTGGGATGAACTTCTGTCTGTATTTTAGTTATGGCATAAACTTAGAGGAAAAATGTGCATCCTCGGATTTTTTTATTTTTTTTTATTTTTATTTTTTTAAGCATTTCACCCCCAAGCAAGGTGGGAGTGCCTAGCATGCAAGGGGTTACAGAGAGTGAAAAAGAGAGTAAAGAGGGGTGTTTGAGGAAAGGATATAGAGAATGATGGGGATCAGGATCAAGGCATCAGAAGATGTCAATTGACATTACATTTGAATATTTGAAACTTATAGCTATCAGGGAAGCAAGAGGAAGAGAGTTCCACTGCTGGGAAGTACGAGAGAAGAAGCTTTTGGAGTAGAAGAGGCAACTGCATTTAACAGTTTCAACCGTGAAAGGGTGGGACCGAGATGCCAACCTAGTAGCATGCTTAAATTCATGCAGTTGGGGTACCAGTGAAAGTAGCTCATCAGAACAGTTGCCATGAAAATATTTTCTTGAATACAATGTAATAAAAATTTAGTGTAAATAAGAAATATATGAAAAAAAAATCTGCCATTAATTTTTTACTTTTTCATATTAATTTCAATAAACTTTATTTCAGTAACTCCAGTCATGACTCTATGGCTTACAAAAAACAGCGTGGCTTAAAAATAATGGCCATAGACTGACAATCTGAGTAGTTGCAATGAAAAACATAAAATTAAAATGAAATAAATATTAGTCAACAATTAATAATGGATGACAATGTTTTATTCAGTAATAATATAAGATTAAAGTTCTTACAAATAATCTGTTTTTTGTTTCCAGATAATACTCAGCCTATAAAAGCACCAGAATTTTTGAAGTCTCCAAAGGATGTGGAAGTGACAGAAGGACAAATGGTTAAGTTCAGGTGTAAAGTTAAAGGGTATCCACCTCCTCGTATCACATGGTATAAAGATGGAAAACTGCTGAAGGGAAACTCCTCTTGTAAATTAGGTAAGGCTGACATAAATTTGGAATTACTTTCTGATTTATTAAAAGGGATTTATCAACTTTTCTGTCATTATTTTTTTTTATATTACATTGATAATTTTATTTTTCTTATATGAGAAGCTATCATCAAACTGAAATGTATATAGGAATAGGTTGTTTTTGCAATTATTTCTGACCTCTTCTGTGGTGGCAAAGTGTAAAATATACTTTTTGTACCATTTTCTATCAGGTGATAGATAAATAGTATCATATTTCCTGACCCACCCAGCCATTTTAGTAGAGAACATTCAGAAAAAAAAAAAGTTGAAACTTCATTTATTTTCCATATTTTCTTTTGATGTATTATGTAATTATTAAATTTCAGATAAAAGTGTCTTATATTTTATCAAATATGCTAAGTGATCAATTCTTTTAAATATTCATTATCTCTTTTCATATGCTCTTAATTGTTGGTATTCCCTGACCCAACTAAGGGCAAATACTTAACCTCCAAATTGGGGGTCAAAGCACTATGAAAGTTTAAAAATAGGTTTTAATACCAGCCATACATTTTGGGAAAAATTTATTATAACAATACATTTTTGTAATAAAAAAAAATTATTACCAGCAATAAAAATCTTGTCTGCATTAAATAACCCATTGAGGTGTTGATATGCTGTAAAAAAAAAAAAAACACGCTAAATATACTAGAAAAACCTTTGCATCTGCTTTAAATATTTGCTATATCACTGTATACATAAAGATTAGAGTGGATGAAAATTTTGACATATTTGTTTAATAAAACTTAGATTTGATACCAAAGGTTATACAAAGAAGTAATTGTATTAGTGTAAATAAAAGATGAGGACTGTAGACTTATTCAAATTAAAATCTCTAGTGTTGGGACAAGAGAGGCTTATGATACCTGCTCAAAGGGAAAAAAAGCAATTGCTTAAAAAAAACTAATTGCTTTTTCTGATTTGTCTTGACAAACCATATACAAGTTGCATGCCAATAGGTGAATAATTCAAATTCTAGTGGACCACAAAAAACCAGAAAGACTCATTTGGTCATTCTCAAGATCTGGATGTTTTGTGAATGTGACTGGATTTCATAAATTCAAATTGTTAATTCCAATCATAGTAATAGCTGCTAAAAACATCCCCCTGTCTAAATTTATAGATAAATTCTACAGGTGCATGCTGGGATTTCTTTCTAACCAATAAAAATGAACCTCTTCTTGATTTCATCTGCCACATTTTGTTTCTTGTCTTTAAATCAGAATGCTATAATCACTTGACTGTATCCATTTTTCATGTGAAGACCATTCTTACTTTGTGAACTTTTACCTTATTACTGTTTGCTTAATATTATTTTGCCCTGTTGCTTTTCTTTCTTCTTATTGTTCATTGGAAACTTTATCAAATCCATTTGTTAAGTATTTTTGCCAATTACACTACATAAATATTTTTAATATCTGGCATTGAACATTATTCATTATGATTATTTAAGATTCAGACAAGTGAGATTCCTCATTAACTAAATGTATCATTAGTTGATTACATTTAAAACTGGCATTGAAGTAGATCTTATCTAGTTTTTGTTTTATTTTATTTTTAGTTATTACTGTCTCTTGTGTATATATTATTTATAAGTATTTGTCGTATGCTATTTGGGAGGTATGTATGTGAATGGTACCAAGATTGGCAATGTATCAAATTGAACTCATCAATGCTTTAATCTAGCATTAATTATAAGAATTAAAAATCCAGTATTAATTATAGGTTTCTCTTAAAAAAAAAAAAATCTGGTGTTGTAGAATTATAAAACTCAAGTACTAGCTATAGGTTTCTACTCACTAATGTCCACCGGCACATTAATGAGTTACCCTGTTGGATAAAGTAGTTGTATTTTCATTTGTTTGTACATCACAGAGCAGATTACATTGATACAATTTAGTGGGGTCTGGTGCAATGGCTGGAATTAGTGATTATATTTTCAATTTTTTATTGTGGATTACCTATTTTATGTTCAGCTGAAGATGTGTACTGATATATAGTATTTTAAATAGTTGTTTTTTATTTGTTTCTAATTTAAGTGCATTTCATAGTAAACTAGGTTTATAACGTTAATGTCTCTTTTTAGTTTATAAGTCTTTATTATATTTTATTATGAGTTTTATTAGTAAAATGAAATCTTTTGATTACAAGTTTGATCTTGTTAAGTTCTAGTAGAATAGTGTGAGTTGAAGAAACAGATTTTGTCCTATTGATATTTTTTATAATAATTTTCTAACTATTTGGACATTTGCTATTACAAATGGCAGTAATTATAACTTTTATAAGTTTGGCTATTAGTCATTAATATATCTAAGAAGATGATATTTTTGATATAAAATTCATGACTAAAATGGAGGACTGCATAAACAAAAAAAGAATAAGTAAAAAAGAAACATTCCTTGCCTGTCATTTTTTTTTAATAAAACCTATATCAATGAAAGACTGCTACTTTCTCCATAACTTCTATCTCATGAAAACGAACATCTTGATTTGCATATTGCTATATACTTTTGAAACCACTATTTCTCATATGATCATCAAAGTTAAGCAACATTTTACCTGGTCACCACCTAGATGGGTGACTGCTTGGGAATAGCAGGTACTGTAGTCTTGAATGTGTGAGTGGTGTAATGGATAATGGTTCAGAATTGTTAATTGGAGAGCAGAGTTCCAATTCCAGTTGAGTTTATTATATTCACTTATGCACAAATACCCTTGGGAAAAGTATGAATCCACCTCTTCCCTCTCCTGCTATGGGTTAATAAATAAGACTTGTATTAAAATCTTTATTATCTAAAAATAAAATCTTTATTATCTAAAATAAATCTAAATCTTTATTATCTAAAATAAAAATCCTCACAATCTAAAAATATTTTCTGTTTTTAAATAACCTGCAAAGATTGATAAGCCATAGAAAAAGAATCCATCAATCAAAACCTATCTTGATTTGAACATTTGATCTCAATAGAAGCAGGAAAGTGACATTATCCATTATACTAATGGTCCGTTGCTTTAACCATATGGTAAAAGTAACTTACAAATAGTGCAGCACATATGCAGCTATTATATTGATTTAGTATAGGTACAAAATCCAGAGATGGATATGCAATGTGATAGGTCCTGATCTGGCATCTTGTCTACAGTCATCTCGGTCCCACCCTTTCACTGTTGAAACAGTTAAATGTAACCACCTCTTCTACTCCAACAGCTTCTTCTCTTGCACTTCATGACAGTGGAACTCCCTTCCTCCTACTTGCTTCCCTGATAGCTATAATCTTCAAATATTCAAATGTAATGTCAATTGACATCTTTTGATGCCTTGATCCTGATCTCCATCCTTCTCTATATACTTTCCTCAAACACCCCTCTTTACACTTGCTCTCACTCTCTGTAACCCCTTGTGTGCTAGTGGCACTCTCGCCTTGCTTGAGCTGAAATGCTTAAAAAAAAAAAAAAAAAATTATCCAGATACTCCACTGATCCTAGACAAGTGGTCCTGTGATAACACTTTAATCCTTGTTAGTAAACACAGATACTTACTAATCTGAGGCTAATGATCCTGTCATTTTTGCTAGTATATTTATATTTACTCACCCACTGATTTTTCTATATCACATATACAACTGATATTCCTGCCAGATTCTTGACAAAATTAAAAATGTCTGATGTTAGTGGTCTTGACCTGGCATCTTGACTTGTCATTTTTTCACCTCCATAATGTGTTTTTCAATAAGTATTTTCATGGCAGTTGTTTTAATATTACGTCATTAATCTTGTGGCTTGTACATGTGATAATGTACCGAGAACAAAGTGTGCCATCCTGAGTTAGAGGAAGGCAATAGTTAAGATAGATTTTACTGGTAAATGAAAAACTTGCTTAAGGAAAAACAGAAATATTTAATTATACAGTTAGATATTTTTTTCAAAAGACCATTTTGTTAAAAATTGGAATTTCTTATTGAATTTGTTGGTAAATAGATTAATTTTTCTTTGTTCTTATGTTGATATTTTACTTTTCTGTTTGAATTGGTTTATGTCTTTTTCATGTTTCAGTCAAATTCTCTTATCTCTGAGAAATAAAACTTACACAATAAAACTTGTTTTTCTTTGTCTGCAGATAAGTGTACATGTGTATTTGCACACACACAAAATACATTGTACACATGTTTGTGTGTGGTTCCAAAGTTAGTAGCCTTTTAACAATTTCTGAGATTTGAATTTATCAGCTCATCATAAATTATTCAGTGATTTCCTAAACAATTGAAGCACTATGCTGACTGAATTGTTCAATGCATTTCTTGGGACAACGAAGATCATCTGGTAATGCCCATCTCCTCACCAATAACATGAAACAGGTTTTACGTGATTATGTTGTAGCACTAGTAGAGAGTGCTGTAACCTATTGGGAGAAGTGGGTTCATGACTTTCTCCATGTTATTAGTGTGCACTGAATATAAACTACCTCAGCCAGAATTTAAGATCTTATCAATTTGTTATAGGTTAACTGTTAGGCCAACCCTCAATCTTGATTTTGCCTTTTGTCAGTGTTTTTTATTATTTGGTCACATGTGTTTCTTTGTAGGTGAATGTCTTTAAGTATTGCCTTGTACCAAACTAAGCAAATTGACAATCCAGGTTAATACTGAGTTGAGTGAAGATTTAAGGTACATGGCTTCCAAGTTGATAGAAGGGGAAAATAATTGTAGATTAATTTTCCTGGACTTTTAAATTATTTTTAAAGATTTTATTTTTTTCTCATAGGCTAAATGCAGGGTTACTTTTATATGCATTAGTGTCCAATTGTGTGTTTTTTTTTTCATTTTTGTTTTGTTTTTAATAAAAATAACATTTTGTACTATGTGATTTGCATCAGAAAATGCCAAAGGTCTGAATCGAGGAATTTTTGATTTGAAAAGTTGATCTTTAGTGGCCCCCAATATGTACTGGAACCACCTTAATAGATTACAAAGTAGGCTTTGCACTCTGTGTCACACTAAAGGGTTGACCTGATAGGTAATCTCATAGCCATTGCTATCAGATGTAGAACAGGGCCTCAAAAGATGTAAGTGGCTGTTTGTGACATGTAAATAAGTAGCCAACCTAAACTGGGCTTAGAATATGAACACATGATGCAAGTAGATGACAGGAAGTTATATAAGCACCCCACCAGAGAGGGGAAAATGTAACTCATCTTTATGAGAAGATCTATATTTAAAGAAAGTCTCCAAAGTCACACACTCTCATGCCAGAGTTACTCTTGTTTTTTTTTTATAGTCATTACAATGATAAATTTACAATATAATCTCATTTCATTTCTTTTTTTTTCTGTTTCTCTTCTGCTCCCTCAGCTTTTCTTTCTTTACGTCTTGTTCATTTTTTTAAATTTTTTTCTTTCTTTCAGAAAAATTTGGCAACAGGGATTACCTTTTAACTATTGAATATGCCACAATGGATGATGATGCTGAATATAGTGTTTTGGCAAAGAACATTGGTGGTGAGAGCCGAGCAATGGCGCAGCTGTTAGTAGAACCATTGGACTCTATGGAATCTGGTTAGTCATCATTCTCTTTAGCAAAATACCAACTATTCAATCAATAAGACAAGCACAAGTATTCACATTGCTATAAAATCCTTTTAACTTTCAATCATCATCTAATGTAAATAACTCTTTTATGTGAGTAATGAATTTCTCTCTTTAGCAATGCATTTATGTTACACTTTAGGCCTGCTACTAGTAACATATAACCTAGTACAACCTGCCACATGGACGAGTGGTTCGTATTTAAAAGCTGACTTTTTTTTTCTATCAGGTCATCCCATAAGTTCTGTCTGAATTTTGAATAAAGAAAACAAGTGACCAAATGTTACATTTAATTACAGATTCAATCAACAATGTATTTTCCCTGATTATCTATGACTTCCTTCCATCTATTAACAAGCTTACTAATTCCATTACTGTAAAATTCTTTTGGCTTTGATTCGAAGAACTCACAAATGTCAGTTTTAACCTCTTCCTGTGTTACAAAAGCTGTTTCTTCTAAATGATTCTGTAAGCTACGAAACAAATGGTAGTCTGAAGGAGCAAGATCGGGAGAATAAGGTGAATGAGGAATTTTCTCCAAACCAAGTTCTTCGATCTTTTGTGACGTGATTTTTGCTGTGTGTGGCCATGCATTGTCCTGATGAAACATAACCTCTTTTCAATTCACTAGAGCAGGTCTTTTTTTTTCCTCAAAGTTTGGTTCAAATGCTCTAATTGCTGACAGTATATTTGAGCATTAATTGTTGCATTAGGTGGTAAAAATTCAAAGTGGATTATTCCTTGGCGATCCCACCAGATTGAAAGAACCTTTTTCCCATGAAGTTCCCTTCTCGGCTGTGGCTGGGGTCCTTCCCCTTTACCAAGCCACTGTCTACGATGCTTAACATTTCGATAAAAGATCCATTTTTCGTCGCCTGTTACAAGTCTATCCAAAAAAGGTGAAACAAGTTGGTGAGAATAGAGAGAAGAGCAGATGTCAACTCAGGATTTGAGGTTGTTTTCAGACAATTCATGAGGCACCCATTTTCCAAGTTTAGAAACTTTTCCAAGTTGTTGAAGATGATGATGAACAGTTGTATGGTTTGAACTGAGAGCCACTGCCAATTCCTCAACTGATAAAGCAGGATTTTCTTCAAGGGCTGCTTTAAGAAGCTTTTCATCAAGCTCAACCGGACATCCAGTTCGATCTTCATTTTGCAAACCATCTTCTGCAAGTTCTTTCATTCACACATTCCTCTCCATAAACTGAGTGAATGTTTCTAGTCGCTTTGGCTGCTGAGTTTCCTTTCTTGAACTCATAAAGCATTATGTGCCTCAAATGATTCTTGGGTACTTCCATGTTAGCAGGGTTTTAATCAAACAAAATTTAATTTTATTGTTCTCTGAAATAAAATTTGATCAGTTTAAATGCATCTAAACATAAAAATAATGTTCAGCTCCATTAGACATTATAAAATACTGTTTAAATTTCATTTTAACAAAAAGTTAAAATTCGGACAGAACTTATGGGATGACCTGATACAAGACGCAAAATAAGACCTGTCAAAAGATGGATAAGCTTCTTAAGAGCCAATGGCCAACACATGTATACATACACAAACACATACATATATATTTATTAAAAAGTCATGCATGTTATAGCATCACTACAAAAACTGTAATTTTGTTTCAACACTTATGGTGTCTTATCAACTGATGTTTTGATTGCAAAATAATTATTTTGCAATCAACACCATCACTTGATATATATATATATATATATATATGGCTGGAATGGGATCTTGAATGGCAACTTTCCTAGAGATTGTGTCTCAACAAAAACACTTGGTGTACTTAAAATAATGTGAGTGTCTGAGTTGGGTGTCATGAAGAGTAGCCAGCCTTGTAAAACCTTGCCTTAAATCATTATTACAAATCCTTTGTTCAGCAGGACCCACCTTGCTTTGTTTGAGATTAATCCCAGTCCTGTACCAACAAAAAAAACATATATGGCTTTTTATTTTGTTAGTTAAAAATGAACCACAAATATTTATACAAGAATTACTAACTCCAAAATACTTGTATGTTATGGCATATTTATTTATGGAATATGCCCCAAAAAAAAAAAAAAATACAGAAACCCAGTTTAAGTATAGAGACCATGTTTTTGTGCTCCTGACTTCAAAATGTTTCAGTGCATGAAGAACTTGTGTGTGTATGAAAGACAAAAGTAGGAAGGAAGGAAGCAAATGACCAAAGTTAAGTTCTACCTTCCTGCCAGGCCTAAAAACTTCAAAAACATTCCTCACTTCGGACTTCAAAACATGTTTCTGTCAATACAGATTCCTGTTTTGAGATCCGAAGTGAGGAATGTGTTTCTGAATTTTTTTTTTTTTTTTCTCTCAATAGGAGTAGTTAGGCTCACCTATTGTCTGGTTTACACTCCTCCCCAGTCTTTTGAACAGGAGTAGAGGTTTATCCCTTTCCTGCCTAGGATTGGATTTTTGGTTCTTTCTAAAGTCAACTTCAGCTCTATTCTTTTAATGTTTATGCCTAAACTCTGAAATTTTATTTACTATTTTTTCCCACTCAATAGGAATAGATAGGTTTGCCTATTTTTCAGTTGACATTCCACCCAGGTCTTTTGAACAGGAGAAGAGGTTTATCCCTTGTTTCTTGTTTCAGATTTTCCAATTTCTTCTATTCTTTTCCTTTCGCACTTCCAGTCATCCCTTGCATTTTAGTGGCATTATTGTCTTGCTTGTGATGAACTGAATTTAAAAAAAAAATGCTTTTAGAGTGACACATCATATAATGCTATATTATCAAGTGACTACATATCTAAGGACAGATAATACCCAACCTTTGTCACTCATTCTTTATCCATGTGTGTATATGAAGGTTGCACTTGCATTAATTCCTGACTACAGGCAACAACCTTTTTTTTATATTTTTGATACAGTTCTGAAACTTTCTCAAAAAAATTTGCAATAAAGTTTTCAAAATTTATCCCATAATCTTCATAATTAATTTTTCCTATCACAAGCAACCAGTGGAAAAAAAAAAAAAAAAAAAAACCCTTAAAAATTTGCATATAGCAGGTTCAAATGCAACCAGGTCAGATGCTTAAATATAATTGTGATTATTGCTTTTTTTTTTTTAATCCCAATTACTAGAACCCTGAGAGTAAATGATTTTTTTTTTTTAAACTATTTGTTAAAAAAAATTCTACTCCTAATATGAGGCAGAGTATATAAAGTTTTTTTATAAATTACTTTCTTTGTATTTTGGAGGTTAATTTTTTTGATCTTACCATATTTTTGTGTTTAATCCAAAGTGCTGATTTTTTATGATTTTTTCAAAATAGTTTTCACTTTGTTTGAAGTTTTTGCTCTGATTCTGTTGAAAGCTGCCTTCAGATTTGATCAAAGAAATATATTTTCAAGTTTATAGGAAATTAAAATGTAAAACGTTTTTCTTCCTGTTGAGTTTTAAAATATTTATTTTTAGGAGGTGGTTAATATATATATATATATATATATATATATATATATATATATATATATATATATATATATATATAAGAATAATTAGAAAAAACTTAAAATTTCAGTCAGTAATAAATTTATTTTTATGAATATAAGCATATTCATCTCATATCAGACCGGCTACATTTTATGAAATGGAATCAATATATCCCGTATAGACACATTTATAAAGATTAAAAAAAAAACAGAATAAAAAATACAAGATAAAACCATAGCAAAAATAAATTGACTGAGAAAAGGTTTCTTTGAAGGGAGGGGTTACATTATGAAAAGAGAACACAATAAAAGAATTAATATAATGGGTAAGGGAAGGTAAAGAGATAGGAAGGTTAAATTTAAAACAGTTACAACAATGTGTTTATTTAAACAGTATCATCACCATCATAATACTAATGCTAATAATAAAAAATATAGTATACTTATAAGAAAAATTGGTATTTTGTTGGAAATGGTTTTAAAAATAATGTTACTGAAACAGGCATTTTATGCGCCAAAAATATAGACATTTTTTGTTTGCTATCTTTAGTAGTATGTGATATATATACACACACACAAACACACACACAGATCCAAAAGTATTGGTAATAAAATTTAGGTGTGTTAAACAGCTTAGGACATACTACCTTTTGTATCAGATCCCTCCCACTTTTAGGTGAGCAAAAGTAAAGGAATAGATTGTCTTAAAGTAAATAACATTTAATATTTGGTTGCATAACTCTTGCTTGCAATAAGTGCATCAAGCCTGCAACCCATTGACATCACCAAACTGTTGCATTCTTTATTTGTGATGCTTTTGCAGACTTTTAATGCAGATTCTTTCAGTTCTTGCTTGTTTCAGGAGGTTTCTTCCTTCAGTCTCTTCTTCAGGAGATGAAATGCATGTTCTATTGGGTTACGGTCCAGTGATTGACTTGGCCAGTCTAAAACTGTTCACATTTTTTCCCTGATGAAGTCCTTAGTTGTGCTGACAGTATGTTTTGGGTTATTGGCCTCTTTCATGATTAACTTCCTCCTGATTAGTTTGGATGCATTTTTCTGTAAATTGAAAGACAAGATTTTCTGTAGCTTCTGAATTCACTCTACTGCTTCCATCGTGAGTTATATAATCAATAAATATAAATGAGCCTGTTCCAGAAGCAGTCATGCAAGCTACAGTCAAGACACTGCCTCCACCATGCTTCACAGATAAGCTTGTATGCCTTGAATCATGAGCAGACCCTTTCTTTCTCCACAATTTGGCCTTTCCATCATTTTGGTAGAGATGAATATTGGTCTCATCAGTCCATAAAACTTTCTTCCAGAACTTTTCTTGCTCGTCTTTGTACTTCCTTGCAAATTTCAATATGGCCTCCCAATTCTTACTGCTGATGATTGATTTGCATCTTGTGGTATGTCCTCTATATTTCTGCTCTCGAAGTCGTCTTCAAGCGGTGGATTGTGAAACATTCACGTTTGCACTGTGGGTGTTATTGGTGATGTCAC